ATTAAAAAGAAGTTTAGTCCCATTTTAGGCTCAACTATTGCTCCATTTGCAGTCACTGGCAGGTCTCCAACAGCATGCTTGAAAACTTATTAGTCAGGGTGGCCACTATTTGTTCATTGTTAAGGACCCCAAGTGTCACAGTGCTGATCAGACCTTCCTTCCAGACACTCATCAGACTTGTATGGATTTCAGCAGCTGGATGTAAGTCTGGGTAGGGTACAGTGCTGTCTCCTGCTTCGGCATCTCTGACATTTTCCTGGACATGGCTTCCTGTTAGTTCTCCATAGCACCTCATGTTTCAGTGGCCCTGAGTTCCCAGAATTAGAACAGACTTTCAAAACACTTTGGAAAGTGTCATTAAGTATCCCCTCTTGCAGTCTCAACCTTGACAATCCACAGTTTAACATCCTTTGGACATACTGTGTACATGACGCTCTGCAAAGATTTCATCAGACATACCCTAATTTTAGTCAGCATAGATTATATGTAGTTCTAAATAAAGCAGTGAACACCTAAATATAATCCATTTCCTCTAAACTGACTCTCCTGTAAGATTTACTCAGAGTCTATTGAGCGTGTGCAGCATCTACAGCTCCACTTTCTCTTTGCAAATATGGCTTATTTATAGGAACTTTAATTTCATACTCCTTCAGCCTCCTCCTGGTTAGCTTTCTTTGATCCTAGATATTCCTGTAGTCAAAAAAGGCAAAACAAAATCCAACAAAAATGCAACTATTTTCTTTGAAAATCTTAGCTCTTTATTCCTTCTTCCGGCCTCAAGACCCACCAGTCTTTTCAAACTGCTGCCCTGTTATCCATGATCTTCCATTGTTTTGTTTGGGGTCCTTTGTAAACCCTGGTTCTCAGTAGAAAAACTGCATCTTCTATGCTTTGGCCCAACTCATTGTCCTTAGCCATTTTCAATTGAATGGAAATTATTTGTAGCTAATGTAACTCTGTTATCCATAGTCTGAAAGAAATGTATCCTCATTGATAATATATGGTTAACTCTACATTTACTAAATAATTCCACGATTTGGGCAACCTACTTGTAACTTAATATATAGAAAGATTCTTATCTCAAGTTCCTACAATAAGCTATTATTAGAAAGTGGAGAGGATTATTTTTTATGGATAGCTGAAATGCACCAGCAGATTAAGTAGCAATGATGGTGGATTCTCATTAGAAGAATAATTCATTAAAAAGGTAGCAGGATAAAAAAATGGGATTGTTATCTTTCAGTGGAATGGAAAGCTTCCCATTTCAGAAAACTTTAACATATTTTAATGTAACTTATTGTCATTTTATGCTCAATATAAATAAAAAAAGAAAAAAATAATTTTGGAGTATTTGCACTTCATTTCTGAAGGCACACACAAAAAAGAACTTAATTCTATGCATGAGTACTTGCCTTTGTTATACTCCTTTCTACCTCTCCAAACATCCAAGTGAAGGCTCACAGCATAACTTGAAGATCAATAGATTTCATTTTGGACAAATACACTTCTTAGGAGTAGAATCTTGCAAACACACGTGTGAGCTTTTTTTTCTTTTGTATAATGGGTGCTTCAGTGCAGGCATATCTGTGGGCTGCAGCTACTTCAGTGTGGCACTGAACAAGAGGCACTCTTTAAAATAGTTCCAAGGCTACTACGGACTCTGTAGTTCAAAAGCAACACCTTCCTGTTGAGAAGCAAAAAGTGGCCAGCGTAGATCTGGAAATTTTGAGATGGTGTTCCCTGATTAAATGCTCTCCTGACTCCCTAATTAGTTAACTAAAGTGCTTTCCATCATTTCATTTCCTAGGCTGATTAAAAGAATCTTTGCTGCAGATCTAACCTTGTAGTGATGAAGGCACAGATAATTAGTTCTGCAGCCAAAATGAGGGGACACAACTTGTACTTGGAGTGAACACTGTGAAAGAAAATAGTCACATAAACACTGCAGCATCCGGCAGTAGATACAAAATTGTTCACAGATGAAGAAAGAACACAAAAAGAACAGATGCATCCTCTCCAACAAAACAGCAAATACAATACCTGCAGCTTAACAGAGGCTTCCTCTAACCTACCAGCTTTCAGCACATCTTTGTCTGCAATGAGTGCCAGCTAGCTAATGGCCATCTCTGCCTCGTTGCCTTATCCCAGAGGACTAACTGGGATGAAGGAGATAAAGAACAGGGAATGTGATAGGGAATGTGATAGCCAATGTCTTCTCATTAATCCCTCAGTGGCCCTGTGGAGGCTGTTAGCAGAGGAGGAACTTCCAAAACAGCCCATAGAAGAGCCCTCAGCAGTTCAAGCTGCTTAAACTAATTTATCATGATAACTAAGTACAGGTGATCCGGTTGTATTTTATCTTAATTGTTCACAGGACTGGAATCTTCTAGAGAGACAGGTCTGGGAGAGAATCTGATTGTGTTTTAGTCTGACTGGAGGCTGTTAAAAATCACCTTTTAGTTATATGTTTTGGCAAACTTGGCTTTATTTTCCTGTGTGTGAATAATGGTATTACTGATGGTCATTAGATCCAGCGTCAGAGTGGCAGCGTGTAACTCATATGCACTATTAGCGCTGGAGCTATGCCAAGGCCCACCAGAGTTGAGTTTTAACCATTTGGGTGGGTGGCTAACGCCGCTTGCTGTGATCGGACACAAAATAGAAGTAGTTCCCCCCGGCAAGCCTTATGGCTTCTTACAGCTCCATTCAAATACAGAACAAGTTAGATTCAGAGTTAATCTGGAAAGGCAGAATTACACTTCTTGGATAGAACCATTTGTAACCGATTACATTTACAAAGTTATTTAAATGATTTTGTCCGTGATATATTTCAAATTGTAGGTTAATTTGCTATCCTGTATCGATGACATCTCTATAAATTCTGTAATGACACGTAATTTGCATTGAAGTCCCAGGAGATACCTATAAAGACTAGTCAAATATCAGCAATTAGCAAAAGCAATATGTCAGGTAAAGAGAAATTCTGTCCTCGTGTAGTTATTTCTTAAGGCTAAATACTGAAGTCTTTGTAAACCTGCAATGTCCATCGATCAGAGAATTATATAAGCATAAGCATTTAAGGGTGGGAACATTTCTACCCTCTGGGAAACATTAACACGGTCAAGGCACAAGCCAGCCTCATTCATTTAAACTCGGTTTCAAATGTACTTTAAGTCTTAGCAATACAAAAGAAAATAGGATTTCACAGTATTCGAAAAACAGTAGTTCTAGGAAAGCTTATATAATTAAGAACATTTTGTGATACGTTTATACAACTTGACTGCATATTAATATGTCCTTATATTTTTATTACATAACAGCAGTACAAATTCAGTCTTTATGGTCAATGACACACTCACCTCCCCAGTGCTCATCACACACTGTGAACAAGGTGGTTTTATTGGCTAATCCTGGGAACACACTGCTGCACTCCATAACAATAGCCTGAGGAATCATTATGATGCAGGACACAATCCAGATAATTATAATGCTGTTCCTTGCTCGCTTGGCTGTGCTTTTAAACATCAAAGGGTGACAAATTGCATACCATCGATCCAAAGCAATGCAGCTAAGTGTCAGTACAGACACAGAGACTGAAACTGTCTAAAGAAAAGAAAACATTATGTAAATGTAAGTGTAATGTTTTCAGAGTTTTAAAAATTATTTATTGCATTTTTTTTCCAGAGTTTTAAAAATTATTTCTGTTTTCAACACAGTTAGATCTTTATCTGCAATTATTAAATTGAAATTATTCCCAGGAAAAGACTCCTTTTTAAATCTTACAGAATTACAACAGATATCCTCATCTGCTGTATCATCATTCACCCACTAGAATCAACAGTACAATTCACAGATTAGGGTGCTACCCAAACTGAGTGGGTGTAGCAGGGTCGGATTCTGGAAGAGCAAATTTATGCAACTTAGAATTTGCAAAACTTTATCTGAAAAATTACTTTTAAAACAACTAATTAGATCTTTTTTTCTTTGTAGAACAAGTTTGTTTGTTTGTTTGTTTTCTATGTTGTATTCAGATACCAGTACTGTCATTTTGCCTTTTCAGTTTTCATAGGATCAATGGAAATTCAGGGTCTCATAAAAAACCCCACCCAATCAGCTTAAAGCAGACTAAGTCATTTTTACCTTCTATTCAGCATAGAAAATAATCTATCACTTTGGTTTTATTCTTTTGCTCTGTACACTAGGTGATCATTTCACTTTCTCTTTGGATTTCCTTCCGCTAGAATGGAGACTTTGAAACAAGTTTTGTGATTTTGATTCTATCATCAAGTAGATGACACAATGAGGCTCTTCAGCCATACAGGTATCTGCTCAAAATATAAATTATGCTGGAGGCACAGAGCTGATGACCCGCATACATTGAGAGTCCTGCTCAATTCTTTTGGTTTATAAAGACTGAAAGGCCAAACACTTGTCATTCTAGTATGCCCAGTCAGTTCATTTAACCAGCTATTCTTAGAAAAGGTACTTGCCAATCATTTTGATGCAAATGATCTCATAAGTCATTAAGTCCACTGGTAATGAGTGGTGGCAATTATTGCTCAAGGCAGACAGTCTGATCAGCTCCCAGTGAACCAGGATACTTTGGCTATTACTAAAATATGCAAAGTGAGTCACTAAACCTATACAAAAGCCCAGACTCCCTTCAGAAGTTTGGATTCTCTGTCGTGGACACTTGTGTAGCTGTTTAGGTCCACGCACACAGAGTATAAATGACACTAAGTCTATTCACAGACATTTTTATTTCTTTATATCCCCTCTGGATTACTAAAACAGATAACAAAAAGTGGAGAGCATCAGACAAATGTTCCAGAGAGTGTATTGCCCAAGCCTAACAGTCAGATGGACCAAGAACAATATTTATTAAGCATCAATATATTAAGTGGAGCAGTCCTTTAATCCTCAGCATCTACCCTGAGATATCTACTGCAGTAGCAGGGATAGACTTCCATCAGATCATCACTATTAGGAAGATGCTATCGTTCTTTCTCTTTTTCATAACATAGGTAATGTGTACACAAATGCGGTAAAATAATACCTGTAAGTAGGGAATCACTTTGCAGAGGGGCTGCCCAAAGAACCACGTTTCTGTGATGTCCACTACTAAAGTTGCTGGAAGACAAGTAATTGTGACCAGAATGTCAGCCAGAGAGAGATTCACTATGAAATAGTTGGTAACTGTCCGCATGTGATGATTCTTCCACACTGCAATGCAAACTGATTTTGGAAAGACGAGTTAATGAGATGGAACTGACTTAGGGAATGCTTCAACAGGAAAAAAATAGGCTTTGCAGAATTAAGGAAATGTCTGTGTCCTTTGTTTAATACAGAATATTTGAATATGCAGTTCAGTGTAAGAACCACGTGTTTTAAAGTGGAAACAAGAGGGTACATGAAGAAGGAATCTTAGTACACAAAGAGTAGTTTTCCACAGACCACAGCGAGGGAAATAATCTGATATATAAGCCAGTTTATTTTACTGTAAGCACTAGCTATTCACACAACATTCTTCATATCTATTTTAATCCATTGGCTCTAGTCTATGGCAATACACTTCTACATTTGTAGAAGTTTGTCTTTTTTTTATGATAGCATGATGCTTAATTCAAATTGCTAGCACATGGAATCTTGTAAACTGTATCAAGACAACACTCATTTTATAAAACATTTTGCTGGGCATAATATATCTACTGCATCTGCAAAGAATCTGTAACAGTTGTCTGGGCAACTGTGATTTGAGGTAAGTAAATAAAGGTAACTTTTCAGTATTAAGTGCTACCCATTATAAACGTGGCATATTTTTGATGATGATGATCAAAAGCAGCACGTAGCAAACATTCTACAAGATGTACCTTTAAAGCTTGTTTTATGTCTTTTCTTTTCCCTCTTTTTCTGTTTGAAAGGCTTTTAGAAATGAGGCAAATCAGTCCTTTAACATGGTTGCACTAAATTCATAACCTAACACATTAAAAATGCCAAAATTGAGTCTGAGAAACTAGCCTAAAAATAAGGTTTTTAATAACTTTGGAAGTTAAACCCTGAGAGATTGTGTAGTAATCAATAGCTTTTGAATGTTTTAGATCCACTCACCAAAAGCTCTTTAAATAAAAACTGATGCACTACATTTTCTGGAAATACCACAATATTTCGTGTAAGAAAACAGTACAACTCATTGTACATCAAAGGTTCTTCTCCCGTAAACAATAATTCATCCATCCTGCAAATCCAGATGAAGATTCAAAGTCTCCTTAATCTGTTAGGATATAGTACTATGCTTAAATTAGATATATTAAACAGATCTATTAAACAGAATAGAGTTAGAAGGGTCCTCAAGAGGTTGTCCAAATCTAAAAGGGAATCAGCTAGAGTTAAGCCATTCTTTTATTAACTGAGCTGAAACAGCTGGAAAAAAAAATTACAGACTTTGAGGCACATAAACTCTTTTAGATCCTGAGAAGGATGGTGTGCCTGAAAGCTTGTGTCCATCTTCCAGCTGCATCAGTTGATCTAATAAAATGTTTTACTTCATTCCACAAATCTTGTCTTGCTTAAGTCTTTAGACCAACACAACTACAGTAAGACTACCACTAAGCCATTGCTGGTAAGTTTACATTTTAAAATGTTATATTTGAAGATATGATGACTCTCTAAAATGTGTTGCAGTGTTTAACTACCTTCCCTATTAAAAAAAAAAAAAAAAGAAAAAAGTTTTCTAATGTCTAATGTCTAATCTAAATGTCTAATCTACTTTTCTTGTACTGCTATTTATAGCACTTCTTTTTCTGCACACAGGCAGCAATGAAGAAGAGTTTTTCCCTGCAGCAATGCTTTACATATGTAAAGATTGTTATTGCATCTTTCCTCAGTTTTCTTTTCAGACTGTATAACTCCAGAACTTTTATCTTTTACTGCTGGTCATTTTTTAGAACTTCTACAGCCATCCTTGCTGCTGTTCTCTGGATGGTGTTCAGACTGGATCACTTTTTTGCTATGAGTGTGCAGTGACCAAAATGGGCACAATACTGATTCAATACCTTACTAGAGCTTTAGCAGGAGCTGAGATTGGAGCACTTCGACTTGAGGGCTACGTTTAGACATTTAGGAGTATTTTAGGACAAAGAGAGGGGGAGAGTCTAGCTGGCCTCCAGTTTCTCCACAAGAAGGTGATTTTATCACCTACCATTTTAGGATACAGGTTTCAAAGTTTCATCCAAAACCCCTATTGTGCCTCTAGTAGATGTGCATCTAGTAGATGTTCTTCATATCTTTTAACATGTTGCAGAAATGGTTCCAAATTCTACAGCTTGAATAAATTTAATCTTTGATATACATCTATCATGCTTTTGTAAATGCAAGTCAAAATCCCTCCAGAAAGCTCTTCACTGCTTGATAAAATCTCCCACAGTATCCATTTCTTCTATTGTTTTCCTCCTGAATACAAAATTTCAGGTTCCTGTGGCCTCAGATATCTGAAAGGCAAGGCTTATAAATTAAAAGCCTAAAGGAAAAATCATGTTAATTGTATTTACTTCGCATTTGGGTGATTTGAGTTACCTACTAAAGTAGTTATTTCTATAGCATTGCATTACTATAAAGCCAGAGCTTTACTGTTGTCATTTGGTGCATAGGATTACTACAGTTATAACTTACGATCTGACAATGCAGAGGCAGCACGTAACAGGGAAGATAATACATTGCTGCCCCTCTGGAATGTTGTTCGCAGTTGGAAGTGCAATGCTGGGGAAAAAAATTGCAAACACCATGTCACTTTCAATAACGTTAACACTTTGGGCTTTTACTTATGGCTTGTTCTTTGTCTTGAGTGTAATTCATATTGAAAGTATGGTCCTCTCTTGTACTTAGGCAGAAGTTAATACTAAGTGGCAATGTTTTTCTCTACTTTTTATTTCTTTTATCAATAGGCAAAAGTTAAATAAAACGATGCTTTAAAAGTTCAGAGTTTGGCTACTTTGTTCTCATGCTATGGTTTCAGCAGTCCTACATTCTGCCTGATTCAGACAAGTGCATCATTTTCAGCAAAGGATGTCAGTGCCTAATGGTGCCAGGTTTAAGCAGATACATATGTTCTTTGGCAAGGCTTATTCTTATTCCTGTGCTGACCTGCTAGGGGAAAGCATCTCAATATTAACATTATTTCTGATAAAACAAATGCATTAAATTAACAAACGTGAGGTCAATCTCATTGGCAGCAAACTGTACCAGAAATCAATTCATAACATTTTGCATATTGTGTTCAAAGCTTTCTATCAGTATGAGCAAATGAAACCTCATTATACCCCAGAAAGCTAAGAAAATATTATTGTTTTCATCTTTGATGCAAGGAAAGTGAAGTGCAGAAAAGGCAATAGAGTAAATCAGACACAGAATAAGAAACTTGGGCTCCTAATTCCCAGCTCTTTACTAGGCCTTCCAGGTCACACTGGCTTAACATGGATGGAATTTAGATGAACTCCAGTACCTGCTATTCCTCAGAGAAATAGAAAAGACTATGTCCCTTGCTACTCGGGGAGTAGCAGTATGCAGGAAAGCCCACGTACAGAAAGTAGCTCTGAATTCCTTTGAATTCTACTCTATGGGGACAAGAGGCACCTGAAAGGTGGAAAAAAAATCATAATTTACAAGCACAGAAATGCAAGATAATTTGTTACTGTAGATTTCTCTGTTTATGCTTGTGTGTTTCCCCTTTTGACCTCATCTGTTCTTTGCAGCATAGCCCATTTCCCAGTCTTTGTACGGCACAAAGCACGAGACCATCTTAACTAGCATGTTTACATACTGCCATAATAAATAAATATCCCAGAAGCTTATTCCATGAATGTATAAAAAAAAAAAATCAATTTGCATAAAAAAGCCTCTGAAGAGAAGGTATTTTAAAAACAAGTCAGCTTTTTCCCCCACTGCTTGCCCTCTGCTGGTTGCAGTATTGTTTTCAACCCGCGCAAGCATTAGTAATGTTTTCCTTCAGTGCGAGGCTAAACAGAGCTGTGAGGATTTGCTACGAGTTATTTGAATAGGACAGAACGGTATAAATGGCAGAAACTTAGTTCAGTATATTCTGTCCAGACTCCATGTCCTTCTGAGTCTACTGCAGTACAAGATTATTCAGTAGTCTTGGGCAACAGCTTAACTGATATACCAGTGATCTAGCAGCTCATCGAGAAAGATACTCTAGCCTTTGTTCAAAAACTATTATTTTATAGCTGTGCAAAATAGTTTAACTATGCTGCTGAATATATTGTAACTAGTTAAGTATCAGAACAAAAGGGGTTTGTATACTCTCCACTCTCACTCCTTTAAATATGCATTTTCATCTCAGGTAGTTCTATAGAGAAGTGGAGGCACTCAACCTCGGTATAAACCCTAAAGAAAAATGCTAGCGAAAGGAAGCTCTGTGGAGTGGGAAATGCTATCTGCCCACCCAGAGTGAAACAGCACAGAGCTGTGGCTTTCCACTCAGCTTGGAGAAGAGAAGCAAGGATGAGAAAGGTAATAAAGATTCGCAACTGGAAGAGTATTTTACCAAAAAGTACTCCAAAATCATAAACTAGGAGATGAGGCCAGCACCAGCCTTCCTAAAAAACTTGGGGACATCACAGAGTTAACAGGATGCCTGTTTAGTTAGGGCACAATGCAGTGGCCCAAACTGAGATCTTCAGAGCTCCGTTGAAAAATCTATGAAATAGTAAAAATAGCTCTGAATAAAACCTCGATTTAACATTATATGCAAATCTTTAATGCAACCTTTGATGTTCCCAGCTAGAAATGGGAGTGAGGAAGAAAGTAGGAAAAATGGTATTAACACAGACACTGAAGAAAAGAGGATCTGAATTTAAAAAAAAAAAAAAAAAAAAAAAAA